CCCGGCGGCCCGCGCGCGCCCCCGCGGCTCCCGCGACTCCTCAGACGCGGCGCTCCGCGCACGCGCGCGTGCGGCTGCCTTCGTCCTCGCCGCCGCCCACTTCTGCGCAGTCCGCTTTGTTGGCTCTTTCTCTCGTCTCCGCAAGGCCGGGCTGGCTATCCCTAAACAGCCCGAAGGTCCCCTTGTGACCTGACGGGGCCCTCGGGAGCGTGGTCCCGTCTCCCGTCCCCTGGGCCTCGCTCCCGCTCGCGCGCAGGAGTGGCTGTCGGTCGCGCGCGCTCCTCCATGCTCACCCTCCCCACGCACCACGCCCAGATCTGGGGACCCAGATTTAAGGTCGCATGTTCGCCGACAAGCACAGTGAGAAGGACCTGAGCGTCCATCCTGGTGCTGATTCACAGCGCGGCTGCGGGGCGCTTCGTGCTGAGCGTGGCCCCGAGCCTCCTCAGCTCCTTTCTGCACCCAGCGAAAGGGGAGGCGCCGGGTCCTGGCCGCACCTGAGCGAAAGAAGCTTAGCCTCCCCTTTGGCCGCAGGTGCCACCTACCCGCTAGACAAGGTGATACGGTACCCCCACTCCCCCACCCCACCCCCACCCCCAACCCCGTCCCGGTCCCTTGTTTTTCGGTTTTCTGTTATTTTGCGGAGCAGCACCATAGGCATGTGTCTGCAGTCGTAACCTGACTTATCTCAAGGTCAAAAACTGACCTTCATTGCTGCTTAAATTGTAAACCTCCAACCAATAGAATAAACTACCCACTGGGCGTGGTGGCACATGCCTGCAGTCCCAGCGCTCTGGAGGCTAGTGCAGGAGATTCGTAAATTACAGTCCAACCTGGGCGATTTAACGAGTTAGCCAGATTCTGTCTCAAAAAAAAAAATTTTTTTTTAAGTGCTCGGGATAGACCTCAGGGTGGAAATCCTGGGTTCAATCCTTTAGTACCAGGGAAAATGATGAATAATTGTAAACTGAGATTAGCACAGAAACTTTTTCAGTCTAGTCTCAAAAAGTAAGAAAGGGCTGAGGATGTAGTTCAGTGCAAAGACCCTAGGTTCTCTAGAAAGAAAGAGGAAAAGACAGCGGGAGAAAAGGGTAGCAACTGCCCTGCTACAGTTGTCTTCTGAGTATAGGACTTGGCAAAGCCACAAGCATTTTGATCTTAGTAATGCTAATGGAAATATTGAAACTAAAATCCAAGGAGTATGAAAATTCTAGACAAACGAGCCTTCATAGACACTGCAGAGGCCATAAGTGGTCATCTGTGGCTATGTAAATTTAAATTAAATTTAAATAGTCTGGCTAGGCTTAGTGCTTAATTCAAAAATTTTAAAAAGGGCTGGGAGTGTAGCTCATTGTGGATGACCTGAGTCCTGTCTGCAGTAATAATAATGTCATATAACTAATTTAGATCTTCACACTAGCTATATTTCAAGAGCTAGTGCTAGCTGCTTTCTTGGATAAGAATAAGACATTTCCATTATGACTGAAAATTCTATTGAACAGACAGCCCCTTGCTAAAAGATTGAGGATAAACTCTATATCTTCACTATATAGATTTATGTAATGAAAGGAGGGCCAGCGACATACCCTGGAATCAGATGCTGAATTGTCCCCTGGAGTTTTGACCTGAGACCTACATCTTATCCCCAGGAGGCAGGGTACTGTAGGGAATTTTTTGTGGGTCTTGGCTTTCAGCTTTTTCTACCCAAAAGAATTACTCAGATATTCTGAAGAAGTTCCTCATTTAAGACATTACCCAACCAGTCATGGTGGTACATTCCTATAGGGATATTCCTTGCTTAACGACTACTTGTTCAGTGACTGCTCAGACTTACAGCACTATTTGAACCTGTGACCTGCTACTCAGTCTTATGACTTATTTTTTTGAGTTCTGCACATCTTGTTTATAGAGCCTCAGTGTCTTTTTTGTACAGTACACCTTTCACATTACAGTAACTTTTGCTGGTTGCACAATACAACACTAGTTTTGCATTGTTATATATTACAGTTCTATGCTGCAGGCAGGAGTTACGCAAAGATAGGCAAAGTCATCCAGGTAAAGTCTCCTTTGAGTCTTTGTTCTGAATGGTGTAGTGTACATAGTATATACAGCTCCTCATTTAGTGAGCAGTTTATTTCTGACTCAGTTGTGGGACCGTGACTCATTCATTGATGAGGAATGTCCATAATCCCAGCACTCAGAAGGCTGAGGCAGGAGGATTATGGCAAGTTTGAGGCCAGCCTGGGATACACAGTGAGTTCAAGGTCAGCTTTACTGTATAGTGACACTCTGTCTCAGGAGGAAAGGATGATAAAAGGAAGACAAGGGGCTGACTGCAGCCTGGCCACCCTGGCTTTAAGTCACAGCGCTGCCACATATATGCTGCATGGTCTAAACTCAATACTCCATACAGCAACTCCCTGGAAGTAGAAGCTTGGGTCCAAACCAGAGCTGCTGAGTGAGAATCTTCATTCTAACAAGATTCCTGGGGGTGTGAGCACTCAGTGCAGTGGGAGACAGTACCCTGTGTGTCAGGGCAGCCTCCTGACACTGCCCGCACATCCTGTGAAGAGGGCAGAAGTTCCACGGCTGGCTCAAGGAGAACACTTCCTCCCAAGGTTTTGACCTGCATGGTCCCCAGGACCCACCTCCTATAGCCCTTCCTTACTCTCCCAGGCCCTCTTCCCCAACCCCTAGTGGAGGGTGTCAGAGGATTTTGTGTTGCTTGGAACCTCCAGGGAAGGACAGGCTCCTGATTTCCTCCTGAAGAGTCAGGTCTCCATGGCCCATGGAGCTCCAGACTGGAATTAAGAGGAGTCAACTCTCAGAATCTGCCTCTTACCTGACCCTTCGGTCTTTCTCCACACTGACACTGGTGCCTCGATGCTGCTCTTCATTGCCCTCTAGTAGCCATTGCCCTTGAGAGTTCAGAGCCCTTAGCCTGGCCCCAAAGCTCCTTCCCAACCTGGTCCTAACTCACCTTGCCAGCCTCTTGCCCTGCACAGCTTCTCACAGACATGCGAAACACAGGGAGCCATTTACCATGTGTCAGAACCGAGGAGGCCCTCCAGAAAGGACAGGGTTCCAGAAGCAAGGTGCAGAGGAGGTGTCTGAGCTGGGCACAGCTTTCTGCCTGGCTGGCTGTGCTGGATGTGTGCCCCCTCCTACCCAGAATCCCTGCCCTGGACCAGCCTGTTGCCAGTTGGAGGGTTATTTAGTAGCCTCAACAAAAAATTGGACAAGATGCACAGAAAAGGCAGTGGAATTACACTTATATTGGCAGTAGAACAATTGTGAGAGGAAGCCCTCTCGTGAGAAGGCCCTCAGCCACCCTGATCATAGGAGGAAAAGGGACTGTTATATCCCAAATTCACAGGTTGGCTTCCTCCTCATGCAATTAAGGCTCTGGGATATTTGTCCTATCAAAATTGACTCAGCCCTGGTGCCAGATTTAAATTGCTCTATGGCAAGAAAGACTCATTTGGATTCTCTTAAGTTTTTGTTTTTGTTGATACATGTTTGCAGTGCATAATGATTACACTCATTGTGAGGAACTGGTAGCTACAGAACATATCTCAGTCACCCCACCCCCACCCTTTTTTTGGTTAGGGTCTCCCATGTAGCTCAGGCTGGCTTTGAACTTATGGTGTTGCCCAGGAGCATGACAATTCTTCTGCCTCAGCCTCCTGAGTGCTGGAATTCCAGGTGTGCTCTGTCATGCTTGACCAGATTCCTGTAAGCTGTAAATGAAGGATTTGGAACAATATTGACAACTAGAAGGATCTGGCATAGTGTCTTGTGATTGGTTGTTCCCACATGGAAATGAAGGATTGAAAAAAGCATCTTTGGATTGGTCCTTCCAGCAGCACTCATTCAAAGGGAGGACTGAAAAGGGTACTTTTCTGAATGCTCCATAGTACTCAAGTCTACACCTGCCATCCCTCTGGGTCCCATAGGTCCTTTGAGGGAATCTCGTAATTGTTGGGGATTTTTCCTGGTTAGGGAGGAACTGAGCTCCCACTGGGAGGCTGCCCCTGGGCAGGATGAGTGGTATCATGAAGGAGGTCCCTGGTTTGGGGGTTCCCTTGCCCTATTGCCCTGCCTCAAGCCTGGCCATGAACTGAAGACCCAACCCTTTTATATTCACTCTCTGAAGCTTTTCTTCATGCTTCCAGGTGAAGGGAAAGGATGCTACCTGCGTGGACCAGTGGAGCGCATTTGTTTCCACGTGGCTTTTTTCCCCATAAGATGGCTGAAGTGGAGACTGTATCCCAAGGGTCCGCCTGGTCCATCTGTGTGGCAGGTGCTTGGCGAATGCTTGAACATGTAAGGAACAACATTATCGCCTCCTTTTGCAGCAGAGCTTCCCTCAGGCACAATTAGGCAGTTAGGGAGCTAAGAGACCAAGGCTGCAGGACTCACCGTTCTAACAGGAAGCTGAGCCCGGAAGTTCTGGAAAATGCAACCCACTGGCAAAGGCCATGAAAATGATAACTTGACCACCGCTCTGCTCTTGGGCATTTTCTCTTTTCACTATTTTAGCTGTGTGGTGTGTGTATGTGTGTATGTATGTACCTATTTTTTTGTCATGCTGGAAATTGATAACTATGTTGTGAAAAAAAATAGCATGTTCATGGTTTAAAAAGATTAAATTCTTCAAAAGTATGTACAGGAAAATTACATTCACATTCCATTTCTTGACTCTGAGCCAACCTCTCCTGTTCCTTTCCTATAAGCCTTACTATTGTTAATATGTGCATACATTTAAATATACATGTATATATAAAAGATATACATATTTCTACATGAATGTGCTCATATGAATATTTGTCAGCTTTTATCACATTTCTGGTAAC